AAATCTTATAAAACAAGTAATGAAATTTTGAGAGTGGTGCATTCATAATTGCAGATGGATGAATTGAGAAACTTGAACTTAATGATTTTTAACTTTTTTATCACCAAAGATTAGTAATAGTGTATACAACTTTTTAATCACCAAAAATTAGTAATAGTACGTGTATTATAATATACAAGTAGAGTATATGTGAGATGTCTCCTTACAACTTTATTTACAAACATCATAGGGATCGGACCAATATACAAATACTTCACCCGTTTCTTTAATATTACAATATGGAGGAGGAATTATGCATCCCAAAGCACAATTTAAATCTTAAAATTATCACGACGTACATATTTAATCCCTAGTCTTTTAGGGAGGTGATGGGATGATGGTTATGAAGTAGGAGGAGATGGTGTTTTAGGCGGCGTATCAGGAGGGTAATAGACAGGTGATGGTGCAGAAGGCGGGGTTGGATCAACAATTAGAACAGGAGGAGATGAAGTCTAGGTGTATCAGGAGGGTAGACCGGTGATGGTGGAGACGGTGGGGTTGGAATAATGGTTGGATCGTCGATTTGAATAGGAGGAAATAATGTTGTGTATCGGGAGATGGTGGTGGTGGATCGATGACTAGAATAGGAGGAGATGGGCCGAGATATGAAGTTGAAGGATATGGTGTTGTTGTATTAGGTAAATCAGGAGGATAGACATGTGGTGGTGGAAATATTGGGACTGAAGTTGAAGGGGCTGCTGGTGGTTGAAAATAACAACTTGCAATCTTACCGCCTTTATTCTCAACAATTGGAGGCGAACCATATTCAGGAGATGATGGTAATGATACCGGAGGACTACAAATTGGCTTACATGAAGCACAATCAATTGTACAACCATCAGGGCAAAACTCGGGACAAACATGCTCTAAGTTATAGCACATTTTGTACTTTTTGATCTTACATGATGCTCTCATGAGATGGTTCGTGTTCCCTTGAGAAATCGCGGCATCTAGCAAGACTGTCAATGACAAAAGAAAACACCCTAGGTAGAGTATCTTGTGTAGAGCCATTTTAAAGAATTTGATTAGTTCTCAACTGATGGGTTTGTACTTTGTAGCATCATTGCAAAACAGCTTATTATGTAGAGGTGTAGGCATCCAAGTTCATAATTTACTATTAATATTAATTCCCTAAGATGTCGGGTCAAGGCGTTAATTAAACACAAATTAAATTATATGTATATACATACCTTCATTCAATGTCATCTCCCATGTTTATATATTGTGCATATGGCGGTCCAACGTAAATAAATGGCTAATGATGAACAAGATATATATATACTTGTATGAAAGTTGCAGAAAATACAAATAATTAAGGACCTTTGATTGTTAAGTCTGCAATGCTTCTTTGTTTTAATACTTGTATAGTTGTATATATACAACTTGGGATCACCTAGCTTAATCAATTAGTTTGAAGAATCTTAATTAGAGGTGTGCAATGCTAATTAGTAATTACAATACAAGCAAGTAGCTAGCGCTAGGGGTGAGCATAACAGGGTACCCTGTAAAAATTCCAGGAACCGGAACCGGAACAGGTTCCTCAAAATGAGAACCGGAACCGGAACCGGAACCTACAGGTTTCGGTTTCGATTCCGGGTACCCTGTATTATAATATACTCACTAACTTTTTCGCGGAATTTTTAATAAAAAAACTGGTTGGTCACTAATTTATAATGTTTGCAACTTGCAAATAAGACAAACTAATAGTACTTGTCTAACAAATTTAATATATATATTTTTATAATTGTAATTTTGATATTTATTATTTAAAAATTGAGTAAGAATTAGTGTATAATTTGAAATTAAGTGATATTTTTATCAGGTACAGGGTACCCTACAGGTTCCGGTTCCAAAAAATTGAGAACCTGAACTAGAACCTATTACAACAGGTTCTCCAGTTTGCTACCCGGAACCGGAACCTCTTGTACAGGTTCTGGTTTCGGAACCTGCGGTTCCTAACAGGTTCCGGTTCCGATTCAGGGTACCCTGATTTTTCGCTCACCCCTAGCTAGCGCGATTGGATTGAAGCTTCTAATATTGTGAATTGTGATGCTTAATTATCGATGAAGTTGATTATCATTTAATTAGTACCGAACATAAACCAATTGGATATAGTGTGATCACAGGGTTAAGAAATAAATTAAGACTTAATTCTTGAATGGAGGATGCTTAATCCTTAGACATCGGAGTTATTTTCCTTTTGGGAGCATTGTCGAGTTAATTGGAGCCACTTTAAGTAAGGGACTATTAATCAGTAATCTACTAATCTTTAAAGCTATGCAAAATTCAAATAATTAATGTTATTTCCAGCAACATTGCATATCATCATATCCCTACTTTTTCAAAGTATGAGATAACTCTTATGACTAATGCTTAGATAATTATGTCCTCTAAAATATTTATTTACTTAATTGCCCATTAATATTTATCAACTCTTTTTGTACTCTTAAGAATAGTGACAAGAAGAATGCTTTGTAACAAGCAGTCCCCCGATTTCAAGCAAGTAACCAAGTTTGGAGCTATATTCTATTTTTGATAGGGATAATATATATTTACTTAATTAGTTGATTAGATAATATAACTATATATAAGATAAGTTTTGACAAATAGCACGTTTTGTGTGCAGATGGCCACACCATGTGGCCGCTTGTAAAATAACAAATTAACACCTACAACATTGACCAAGTAGCCTAAATACTGACCAACTCCTAAAATATTAATCGAGTAACCCTTGTAACATGACAAATAACCCTGGTAATACTAATTAACCCCCAAAATACTAATCGAGTAAACAGTAACTCTTGTGACTAGGGCTGTGCACTTTTAGATCTGGACCGTAAAACCGACCGGGACCGGACCGGACCCGGCCCGGATCGTAGCCTTCCGGGTCGGTCCTCGGTCCTTTAAAATTAGTCATTCCGGGTTTCCGGTCAGGTCCGAGTAAAACCCGGTAAATTCCGGGCTGGACCGGAAACCCGAGAAAAGTGTATATATATATATATATATTTTTTTTTTTTAATTTCCTAAAAACCCTAACTTCTATCAATCTCATTCACGAATCACGCCTCTTCACTCTCACTCTCTGTCCTCCTCTTTCCCGTTCTCACTCTCTGCCCGACGCCGCCGCGGCTCCGCCCCTGTTCTCAACCACGGTCCACGGACCACGGCATCGCCCTCATCTCCGCAGGCCGCCCTCCTCTTCGACTTCCAGCCTCCAGCCCTCCAGGTATGTTCTAGTTCGATTGTTAGCCTCTCTTCGTTTTTTTTTTGTTTTTGTTTTTTTGTTTAATTAAATTCAATTTGTTAAACTCAGCCTCCTCCTCCGATCACTCCAGCCGTCGACGCCTAACAGCCCTCACCGGAAATTGCTCCTGTTCTAGTTCGAAAGTACATAGGTTAAAAAAAACAGGTTAAAATGCAGGGAAAAAAAAAAGGTAAAGTCGGTCCCAACCGGTCCAAAAACCGGAATGGACCGTATTAAACAGGTCCAGACCGGGACTGGACCGGCAGAATACGGTCCGGTTTCCGGTTCTTAAAAATAGCTTATTCTGGGTTTCGGTTCATACCGGTCCCGGTCCGATTTTGGAGCGGTGCACAGCCCTACTTATGACATTGACCGAGTAACCCCTATTATAATAACAAAGTATCCGTAAAAAAAAAAACTAACGAAATAATATTGTCAACCACATACAAGAATTTCTAAAATGCAAATATAAGTGTTTGGATTGGATCTCAAATGTAAAATGGGTAAAGTCTCAAGTCTGTAAACCCTTTAAGGGTCCGCCCTAGGATGTACTGGGTTGGGTCGGACCCTATTATTTTAGGGCTGGGTCGTAAACCCCTCCAAAAAAATAAAATAAATAAAAAATAAATAAATTAAAAAACCTTCTTTCTCTTTCCTCGAAAAAAAAAACAAAAAACTTCTCTGTTCTTCGTAGTCGGCGAATTCAGAGACGTCATCAGTGTGTATTTTTCTGTTCAATCTTTAGCTCGGGAAATCATTCAATATGGGACTGAAAAACATCAGGTAATCTCCTACCTCAAAAACTTATTAGAATTGTTAATTTTTTTATGAATTTGGGGATTAAAAATCTGCAAAATTGATGTCTAGGTCGGATGCTACGAAGAAAGCAGATCGGAAATTTGAGAAGAAACTTGAGTTTTATTCGAGTAATAATTCCTTTTCAATTACTGAAATGTTATTAATTTTCTGGGTTTTTTCTTTAAATGTTTGAATTGGTTGTTTATGATTCTGGGTTTTGTTTAAAACAAGTGCAGAAGTCAGAGAGACAGTTGCTTCATTGAGTGTTACGAAGGCGATTACAAAGGTGAAATTTCTAATTCAAGCTTCATCTTTGTTGTCTTTCTCAAGCTTAATTAATTTGCAGTAAAAAATAAAAAACAAATACATTGTAGAATCCAAAAAAAAAAAAAAAATTAAAACTGTAGGCTATGATAGAAATAATTTGTTTATTACCTTTGTTATGGTTAATGGTATATGTATATATAATTATATAGTGTATTGTTGGAGGCATTATGGTTGTTGGCAATTGAGATATACAATGCACTTTGCAGTTGTAGTTGTAGCTTGTAGCTGTACATAAGAGAAGTAGCAAAAGTCGATTATAAATTGGCGTGGTTGCCTAGGGTGGTGGTCGTTGTTAGAAGGGCATACACATTAAAAACCTGACTGTCAAATGTCATACCACCACTAAATGAATGAGTCTAAACTCTGAATTCTTAACACTTTTATCACCACAACCATAACCAATATCAGGAGCAATGTGATTATTTAGAAAAAATAAAAGAAGGGAGAATGTGGGAGCACCTAATTCTGATAAAGGAAGGGAACGACAGTGGAGGGGGCGAGGTTGATCCAGAAAATCACAATGATCTTGATCCAGAAATATGGCCTCTGCCTACTTTGCTATTACTGTTTGGTGAATTGGGAGGTGGCGTAGTTGTGTAGTATTTTAATCAATCGAATGCAAGTTGTTCCCGTGGATATAAATATATTTCTACAACTTGAAAGATTTGAAGAAGTTTGGAGGATTTTGGGTGATAATGCGACTGGTGATAGTGCAGCATCTACAATGAGGGAGATCCAAGTCAGATGAACTGGTGATAGCCTTTGATTGATCGCAATAGCATATTTGTATTTGGATAATTTCTCTGATTTATATTAACTCTATATTACTGCTGCATTTGGTCACTTGTGTTCTGTTTCTTTCGTTGCCAGAAAAGCAAGAGTGCAAGAAAACGGGAAAAGAAATTAAAAGCTTATGACCTATCCCTCCTCAATGAAGTCTTACCTGAGGTGAAAGAATCACAACAACCTGCTCCTCCACCTAAAAAATTGAACTGCAAATCCAGACAGAAACTAGTGTGAGTGGCTAATTCTCTGTTTAATTACAGTTTTTTTTAACTTGATTTACTGATATATCTATTGATGGCAGATTGAAGGAGACAGAACGAATGGAGGCTGTCTTAAAACATCCTGCTTTCCAATCCGATCCATTCGCTGCCATACATCGGTACCTGGTGAACACCCAACCAGCTCCTAAAGCTGAGCCTGTAAAGAAGAAGTCCAAAGACGATGCAAAGAAGAAAAGGAAGAAGATATCAAAATCTTCTTCAAAACCACAGTCCATGGAGATGTGAATGGCAAATTTGGGTGTATTAGCAACAGCTTTATCATCGATCCCTCTGAAGACATATCCAAGAGGTCAAGCTTTGCTGATGTGGGGCTATCATCATCCGATGGAAAAAGAATTTAGTCTGCTTGTTGGCTTGATTATCCATCTTATATGGAAATTTTTAAAATTATCAATAGGTCATGTAGTAGTTCTTAAATGAAAGAATCATTGCAAACCCAACCACACCAACAGTCTTTTATGGCTTTAGGTGAGTAGATGTAGCAATGTCTTATCAAATTCGAACTGCAGTTTTTGTATGATTGAATTTTTTTTTTTTTTGTTAGACATCTCAATCGATTATATAAGTTTTCTCTTGGCTCTAATATGAATTAGTGATCATGAAACTTTTTCATTAATATCACTTTATGGACAGAAATCGTATATATTAATAAACCAACCTCTCCTTATTTTTCCTGACTTCACTAAGACAGCTAGAAAGTGGTGACATGTATACGTTGTTAAATAAAACAAGGATGAATTTTAGGAATGTAAAGAAAGGCTTCATGACATTTTAAGAGGAACTTGATGCAGACTAAACAATTTTATTTTATTTTTTCTTCACAAGTTATCCTCATGCAAGTAAGCAAAATTAGTATATTCACATTTTAAGAGGAACTTGATGCAGACTAAGTAAAATTAGTTTCTGAAATGTTTGTTTAAGATCTCTTTTAAAAGCAAAATGATACCATCAAAGTCGCACCAGTGGTCTAGTGGTAGAATAGTACCCTGCCACGGTACAGACCCGGGTTCGATTCCCGGCTGGTGCAATCTTAAATTTTTTGCGATTCCGGGCTGGTGCAATCTTAAATTTTTTGCGAATATACCATGACAGAAGTCCAAAATCCAATTTTCATTGTGTATTTAGAGTTTAATTTTTGACAGAAGTAAAGATAAATCATAAATGACCATAAATCTTCATATTAAGGTAATACTAATATACTATTATACTGTACTATATTACTATGTGAATTATGTGAGAGGATTAACGTATAAGCAAGATCGTTCATATAAAAATCAAAGAGGCAAGTCTATATAAGATTACAAACTCTTTCTCCTGAGTCCTGAATGAGGTCAGGCATAGGTTACAATACAAAGAACATCGCTGTCCTACTAAGCCTACAGAACAAAAAAACATTGGTCCAACATTGAAGTCGCACCACCTATCTACTCGCATTTGATTGACCGATATATATGACGGACAAAAAAGAGTGCAGCACGGAAGCCAACCATTCCAAGCATAAGGAAGAAGCCATAGCATATGCAGGCCATGTAGCCGAAGAAAAATGATGTCTGCATGAACCCAGACATATCAGAGCGGGCATAATAGTAGTATAGGCAATAGCCATATATAAATAGCCCTGTAGAACCACCGCATAGGAAGGACCTGCCATAATAAGTACCAAATCAGTTAATAACTTAATATCATACTAATATGATTGCATCGGTAATACAGACTTACCTACTATATTAACGAATCCAAGATAACAGGGGGAAAGTCGGGAAAGCAACAACGCAGGCATACAAAAGAGACATAAGCACCAATGAAAGTGATCGTGAACTTTAAGATAAAGTAGGTAGCAAATAATGCATATTGATGGATCCAAGTTATTCACTTATTCCTAGAGTTAAATGAAAACGACGACTTTCAAACTCACTAGCATGGCAAAAGCATAGAAATAAATCATACAATAAGAATATACCATTCATGAAATAATCAGACATAAGCGCAGAATACATACCTCCACCACCACTCATGGTCTTCAGCAGCAAGTTGGAAGTATGTCAAAGCAACAGTAATGAAAGCAGTGACTATAATCAAAATAATGAAGACAATGAACAAAATGCTATAAATTGTGTAAATCCTGTGTCCCCAAACACTGGCAAAGATGTAGTAGAGCTCTATGTATATTGCACTGAATGGTAAAAACCCAGCCATTGCCATCTGAGGAAGAGTCCCTCGGTACCACGGCAGTGGTGGAATTTCTCTGGGGTACTTTGTTGTGCGACAAGGAGCTTGGAACTCAGCCTTGCTATTCTTTCCAGCGATCCCACCCAAAACAAGCAACGGTGAAGTTACAAGTGTCCAGATAAGAAGTATAACCATTATTGTGCCAAATGGAAGAGCAGCAGTAGCATGGTATGCTATCGCAACAGTGTTGAGGAAGCAAAAAGTGAGAAACAGAGGACCACAGAACAAGAAACCAGTCAGCAACAGATTCCTAACCTGTCAAAACAAATGGGGGAAGCAATCAGTAAGCTTTCTGATACCATTTAATCAGTGGGATGGAAAGGGGGTGAATCAGATGGAAGGCAGAAGCAGAGAAACTAAGATTTAGCATGCCATATGCGGTAGCACATACCCAGTTTGATCCTTCTAGCTGGCAATAAAAGGAGGTTGCAGTATAACCAGCAATACCAGATGTAAGAGCATATATAACAACCAGTGCTGTGAACAGTGCTCCTCGGTTGTAAGGATAAAACACTCCAACTAGTGCAAGCAAGAATATGAATACCGTCCTGAGAACACAGAAGATACAGGTCAGATAAATATTACAACATAGACTCCCCCATCCTCAAATGATGAAATAAATCAAGACAAGAAAATTTAGGTACTTACAGAGTAAATAGCTGAGTACCAGATCCAAGAGCAGCTGCCAGCACTGATTTGTACTTGGGAAACCTGAACACATCCCCATGAATATATTTCCAACCAGTTTCTTCCTGGTCTTCAGCTGTTTCTTCATCGTGTGCATACCTTTTCAGTAGAGAAAATGATACATTAGAATTACAATAAATGATACAAATTGACCACATGCCTTGGTAAAAACTACTTGGCTATCACTTATATAAACATTCACTCATCAAAGTTGGAGAAGCTGCATGGTATCCATAAATACAAACAACATAATGAAAAGTTTAAATCAGCGATTCTTACTTAACAAAATCATTCTTAAGCACTCGCATGAGAATTGTGGCAAGGAATCCAGTCAGGAGAAGCACTGTGACACATGAGTTTATGATAGAGAACCAATGGATCTCTAAATGATGAGGAAGAGAGGAAGACTGTGAGTATTTATCCATTCTCTTCTCAAATGGGGTGTTTGTCTCTTTCCACTTCACAGAATACATAAATTCTACATCCACTTCCTTATCATCAGTAATGTCCACCAAAGAGTTGGGATCAGTTCGGACATTGATTTCAATAACACGGTCCTTGTTGTAGAAGATGTCAAAATGGATATGCTTATATAAATAATACTTGTACTCGCTTGGATCCAGTTTGCCCTCCTTGTCAACTTTGCCAAGGAACCCCCAGATTGGCAAGTCATCATAGTACATTTGAAAATAGTAATCTTTGGCTACTGCATCTCTAAATTGAACAATGTCTTCCTTTGACAACTTTTTCTTGCAGATGACTTCTGAATCCTTGTCCACAAGGAAATCAAGCTTGTAGGGAGCACTGACTAGACGATCTCCATTTAATACTTCACCAAGAGCTTCTTTCTTCTCCTTGACATGATCTGCAATTCAGAGAAAATAGATCTAGAATACAGCAATACACAGGTGAAACATGCACAAATGACTAAAATAGTTATTTACCTGGAATACAAAATGGAAGATCAAAATATCGATATGTTTCACTGAAAGAAAAGGACATAAAAATCAGACAGCAATATCAAAGCCAATATGGATCATCAAATTCAAACAAGCATAAGCAATCAAAATTAAACCAACTCAATTAACCAAAAAGAACATTCACAATACAATATAAAAAAAAAATCCTGTAATGTTGAAGCTCAAGCCTTTGTCACACGCGATGAATAAAATCTAGTCCTGCTTGTCAGTAATTATTTACTGGTTAACCATTAGATGTGTTATTGCTCAGTAAAATTCTAACAAAAGGAGGCCTACATTCAAACCCACATATCTATTACCTTCCAAGTAGAATAATTACCTCGTACAAAAGCAGAAGACAAAGCTACAAACAAGGGATGAGCAAGTTCTTACGACCAGATTCCTAGGACTAGACACTCAATCCCAGAAGACGAACTTTTTTGCATTCACAGCTCAAAAGTCTACATCTACCCAAATCTACTTCAGAAAGTAAGAAAATTACAAACCAAAAACTGAACAATATCCCCAAATTCTCCAATTTCAGTCAGAGGTAACTTCACAACCAATATAATTCACACTTAGCTACAAACTTTGTATTTAAGACAGCATATAGCAAAAAGTCATCCTAAAACAACACAGCCTAACGTAACATATCGTCTTCTTGTTACATCTGTTTTCAGTCACTCAAGTGTAAGTTAGATTCAATATAAACCCAAATCCCTAATAATTGAGCAAATATCTTAGGTGTAGAGTATTTAATAGCCTGATTGCACATTCTCAAAAGTTAAAATATCATTACCTATTATGGTGCATTGTATTTGTATAGACCAATATCAAATTAAATCGAATTTCAATATCATGCAATATCTGCATTTAATAGTAACCAAATAAAACAAACCCTAAAAAGGAAAGTAAAATTCCTTCCAAAATCAATTCAAACATGAATCTTGAACAATTCACCATTATTCTATGAGCTTAACACATCAGATCACAATCAGGACAACCAAGCATGATCCAACCACTAATCCAAACTAATTACACTGTAACATCATCAATTTCTCACATTGATCAAATTAATCCCAAATTTCACATCACTAGACTAAAATTCAACATATTATCAACGCAAAGATAAATCATCTTAAATCGATAAAACGAAATCTATTAATCTAAACTACAAAATTAGAAACACAACCAATTCTCACATAAATCAAAACAACGCCAAATAATTTCCTAAGCTCAAAAAATACAATTACTTCACAAATTAACAACATAATTAGCAAAAATTAGGAAAATAAACGACGAATTAGGAAAGAAAGTGACCTAGGGTTGTGGAAAGGGCCGACTTTGTTGGCGTAAAGAGGAACTTGTTCTCCAGCTTTGTAACGATGATTAGAACCATCGGATCTCACTTGAATAAAACCAGAAAAGAGCAGAATAACAATGGCCACCATTAAAGTGGCCTTGGATTTCTCCATTGTTGCGCAAAACCTTAGTTTCTCTCTCCTCTTTCTCTCTCTTGAATTCTCGAGTCAAATCGCAGAAATGTAGAGAAGAAGGGGAAGAAAGAAAGAAAGAAAGATTGATCTGAATTTGGGTTATTTTGGGCCACCGTTTTATTGGGAATTTTTATGGAAGGTTGGTTTTTTTTTTTTTTTTTTTTTTTTTTTTAAGTTTTGTGGGTCCATGTAAATATTTTTTAATTTTACTG